CACGTTCATACGCACCAAAATATTCAAAATTCTTTTAAAAATATTGGTATTTGATGATTTGTATTGAGCTTTTTCATTTATGATTATTAAATAGAGATTTCATTTAATAACAGCATCTAAAAGGCCGAAATTAATACAGAATTTTAAAAGATAATAAATTTTTCTAATTAAAATTTTAAAAAAATAAAAATCTTGTAAAAATTCATTATTCATCGAAAGAAATGATTTTTTTCTTAAAACAATAGTGTCTTTAATATATTATATTTATAAAAGAAATTAATTTTCTAACTAAATAATGCCATAATTTTATTGCATTTTTTATTTTACGATTTAGAGATTTTCGGTAAATTATGTTTCTATTTAATAAAAACAAATTAATGATTTAAATTCACCAAGGAGTTGTTTTTAACTAAATATGAAGAGGCTTAAATTTTAATTTCGCAAAATTTCATAGTATTAAGCGGATAAAACAGATGCAAATAAAAAAAATTATTTTACAAAGATTTTCTAAAAACAAAATTTCAAAAATAATTTCATTCCTTTCTGAATAAGTCCTGGAAATTTCAGTAAAATCCGAGAATTATTTGATTTTTGCAAGAATTTCCAAAACAACTTGTTTTAACACTAATCTTTGATGCGCCCGCTGACTCAAGAAGAACAAGATTTTTAACCAAAATTTCGAACGTGCTAGAAAGGGTTACAAACTTTAATAAAACAACCAAAAATACTTTGGTCTTTCCTCTTAATAATAACAAAGATTTCCACGCTAAAAATTTATTTTTATCAAGTTTGGGGCCTTTTTATTTTCTTTAGGGTATGCACTTTTTGGAAGGTTTTTTGAAGGTGCCTATATAGAAGTAAATGTTTTGGAGGTGCCTATATAAAAGTAATTTTTTTTGAGGTGCCTATATAAAAGTAATTGTTTTGGAGGCGCCTATATAAAAGTAATTGTTTTGGAGGTGCCTATATAAAAGTAATTGTTTTGGAGGTGCCTATATAAAAGTAAATGTTTTGGTGGTGCCTATATAAAAGTAATTGTTTTGGAGGTGCCTATATAAAAGTAATTGTTTTGGAGGTGCCTATATAAAAGTAAATGTTTTGGTGGTGCCTATATAAAAGTAATTGTTTTGGATGTGCCTATATAAAAGTAATTGTTTTGGAGGTGCCTATATAAAAGTAATTGTTTTGGTGGTGCCTACATAAAAATAAAAGGTGCCTATATAAAAAATTGTTTTGGAGGTGCCTATATAAAAGTAATTGTTTTGGAGGTGCCTATATAAAAGTAATTGTTTTGGATGTGCCTATATAAAAGTAATTGTTTTGGTGGTGCCTATATAAAAGTAATTGTTTTGAAGGTGCCTATATAAAAGTAATTGTTTTGGAGGGCCTATATAAAATGTTTTGGAGGGCCTATATAAAAGTAATTGTTTTGGAGGTGCCTATATAAAAGTAAATGTTTTTGGTGCCTATATAAAAGTAATTGTTTTGGAGGTGCCTATATAAAAGTAATTGTTTTGGTCGTGCCTATATAAAAGTAATTGTTTTGGAGGTGCCTATATAAAAGTAAATGTTTTGGTGGTGCCTATATAAAAGTAACTGTTTTGGGGTGCCTATATGTTAATTGTTTTTGGTGGTGCCTATATAAAAAGTTTTAATTGCCTATATAAAAGTAATTGTTTTTGGAGTGCCTATATAAAAGTAAATGTTTTGGTGGTGCCTATATAAAAGTAATTGTTTTGGATGCCTATGTTAATTGTTTTGGAGGTGCCTATATAAAAGTAATTGTTTTGGTGGTGCCTACATAAAAGTAATTGTTTTGAAGGTGCCTATATAAAAGTAATTGTTTTGGAGGTGCCTATATAAAAGTAATTGTTTTGGAGGTGCCTATATAAAAGTAATTGTTTTGGTGGTGCCTATATAAAAGTAATTGTTTTGGTGGTGCCTATATAAAAGTAATTGTTTTGGTAGTGCCTATATAAAAGTAATTGTTTTGGTGGTGCCTATATAAAAGTAAATTTTTTGGAGGTGCCTATATAAAAGTAATTGTTTTGGTGGTGCCTATATAAAAGTAAATGTTTTGGAGGTGCCTATATAAAAGTAATTGTTTTGGAGGTGCCTATATAAAAGTAAATGTTTTGGTGGTGCCTATATAAAAGTAATTCATAAATTACTCTTCTGCTAACTTGTGGTGCACGTGGCAATCTTTCATGGTGCATTTAGTGCACCCGGGCGCACCGGTTGAGAAACTGATAAAGACAAACAGGCCATTCCTATCAGTGCAGCTGACAGGAGAATCAGTATTGCAAAGCTTTTTGAAAGCCTTCAAGTAAGCGTTAAATTGAAGGTATTACTCTAATTGCCGGGCGCTTAGTGCGTGTCTATTAGATAAAGACAGTACGTTCCTCATTTTGTCATAGGACATAAGTAGCAGAGGGATGTTCGCATGTGGGAGTTTCTGATGCTGTACTCAGAGATAGATAGATAGATAGCTAGATAGATAGATAGATAGATAGATAGATAGATAGATATGAAGACCATACACCTATATATATATATATATAGAGAGAGAGAGGTGAGAGTGGAAAAGAAGGAAGCTATGTTGAGAACAGCATTTGGAATCCGCTGATTTTTGCTTTGCATTTACTATTAAATTAGTTGAACTTTGAGAAGTGGTATTAGGTTGTTATTGATATTTGTGATTTTGCTACTCAATTGGTGACCTAAACTTGTAACACAACGGAACCCGGCCGTGATTGTGACATCTACGGATTCAAATGAACGGCAAATCAGTTTATGCGAGTCCAAAGTGGCTGGTGCCTTTTGACCAGCAGTAAAATCTGAAAAAAATGACATTCAAAGCAGGCCACCTAATGTCCCGAAGTTGTAGACAGGGAATAGAGTAAATAAATGAATGAATAACTTTCGTGATCAAGTGTCACTTCGTCGGAAAGTCGGAAGTTAAAATCATAGGCTTATATATGACGGGTGAAAGAGATACGAGCCGCGAATCGTGACGCAAAGATGGGCAGAATAGTGGTTGAGAAGAGTCGTAGTTCGCACAGGCCGAACGGAAGATCTGGTTTCTTAGTCTGTTGTCAGAAATAAAAGGAGCGGACGCGAAGATTTCCCTACTGTCACCTACCTATCTGTCTATCTACCTACCTGTCTCTCTACCACCTTACTTAACTACCTACCTACCTACTAACTACCAAACTGCTTACCAAACTACCTGTCTATCTACCTACCCACCTATCTACCTTCCTACCTATTTACCTACCTACCTAACTGCGTACCACACTACTTACGTACCTACCTACCTACCTGCGTACCTACCTACCTACCTACCTGCGTACCTATCTGCCTATCTGCCTATCTACCAATTACCTGACTACCTACCTACCTACCTAACTGCTTACCTAACTACCTGTATACCTACCTACCCACCTACCTACCTATCAAAGTTCCTACCTATTTACCTACCTACTACCTACCTACCTGCGTACCTAACTACCTATCTGCCTATCTACCAACTTACCTAACTACCTACCTACCTGCGTACCTACCTACCTACCTACCTACCTGCGTACCTACCTACCTACCTACCTGCTTACCTAACTACCTACCCACCTATCTACCTGTTTACCTACCTACCTGCCTATCTACCAACCTACCTATCCACCTATCTATCTACCTACGTACGTACGTATCTACCTACATACCTATCTATTTACCTAGCTAACTACCAACCTAGCTTACCTACCTAACGACCTATCTATCTACCTAACTACCTACCTAACACGGACCTACCTATCTCTCTACCAATCTACCTACCTACCTACCTACATACCTGCCTATCTACCTACCTACCTACCTACCTATCTACCTATCTACCTGCCTACCTACGTAGCTACTTATCTATCTAGCTACATACCTATCTATTTACCTAGCTAACTACCAACCTAGCTTACCTACCTAACGACCTATCTATCTACCTAACTACCTACCTAACACGTACCTACTTATCTCTCTACCAATCTACCTACCTACTTTCCCCGGATTATGCGATGTGAATTAATGAATAAATAACCAATGATGGAAATATGATTCGCGTTTTCATTTTTGACCATGACAGTATTTTCACTTTGATTTTACTCGTGCACGTGCAGTTGTCACATAATTTTCAAACGTTAACCATTAAATATCAAAGAGGAGTCAGCAAATGAACGAAGTAACAACAACAACAATAATAATGATAGAATGCAGGTAGTTCCCATAATAGATGCAGCACTTGGAACTATACAAAAAAAAAAAATATTAAATGATTGAAAAATTGAGGAAGATTTTCTTCCAGTGACAGATTTTTTTCGATCCCAAGTTCTCAGTTGTTATTCTCATCGATATTGTCGGGAATCGAAGCACAATATGATGTGATCGTCGAAAAGGTGAAAAAGGGACGCGCTTGAACGTTTACAACTTTGTACCGTAATGTCTCTAATTTTTTTTTTTTCTTTTGAATACCGGCACAAGATTAATAATACACTGTGGTCGATTTGCACAGACAAAGGATTGTAAATAGTGATACAAAATTTACTCCGTTCGTAACTTACTAGGTGCTTCGCGTGAGTGGCTTTATGTCCGACTAGGCTTTGTAAATACAGATTTTTTTTTTTTTTTTTTACTGCGGGTTCTTCTACAATCGTAAATGGGTGCTCCACACGTGTGGCTTTGTGCCAGACTAGACTGAATTGATTCAACAGCTATATAAATAGTTTTTAATGCCAGTGCTTTTTTTTTCATTGCAATGAAATTACGCATATCAGTGTAGGGAATTTTCGTCGATATTCTTCGATAATAATATAAAAATTAAGAGATTTACATAGATAGATAGATAGATAGATAGATAGATAGATAGATAGATAGATAGGAATATATGTAGGTAGGTAAGTAGATAGATAGATAGATAGATAGATAGATAGATAGATAGGAATATATGTATCTATCTATCTGATAGATAGATAGATAATAGATAGATAGATAGATAGATAGATGTAGGTAGGTAGGTAGGTAAATAGATAGATAGATAGATAGATAGATAGATAGATAGATAGATAGATAGATAGATAGATAGGAATATATGTAGGTAGGTAGGAAGGAGGTAGGTAGATAGATAGATAGATAGATAGATAGATAGATAGATAGATAGATAGATAGATAGATAGATAGATGTAGGTAGGTAGGTAATTAGATAGATAGATAGATAGATAGATAGATAGATAGATAGATAGATAGATAGAAGGATGTAGGTAGGTAAGTAGATAGATAGATAGATAGATAGATAGATAGATAGATAGATAGATAGATAGATGAATGGATGTAGGTAGGTAGGTAATTAGATAGATAGATAGATAGATAGAGGATAGATAGATAGAAGGATGAAGGTAGGTAGGTAGATAGATAGATAGATAGATAGATAGATAGATAGATAGATAGATAGATAGATAGATAGAAATAGAGAGAGAGAGAGAGAAAGAGATAAATGCCACAGCAAACGTAAGAGTTGGCTTAATTATTTTTCGATGTTAGACCGTTACGATCGCAATTGTCAGCCAGTCAAACTTTTAAAATTGGGTCTATACAATCTTCCTAGCCCTGTATACCCTTCATCCAGTCTTATGGAAACTTGAACTCAATAACAATTTAAAAACGTTCTTTCTGACTAAAAACGTTGCCAATTTTTCACCGTTCGAGCAGGTACTACCGCAATTGAAAAATGGTGGAATACAACCTTCTTCCATCCATTTTTCCACTCATTTCTGTTCCCGCCTTATCAAAAAAAAAAAAAAAATTACGACTTAGGCAACACAATGTTTCTACACTCCTCCTTGTCCGGGCCAAGAACAAAGCGAGGATCCTGGATGCTGGTTCTATAGGCAGGTAGACCCTCTATTACTTGTGGGGCGTTATCCAGTTCTCCGTCTACGGTTGGGCCTTGTACCGTACTAGGTTGAACTTGGCGTCTATCGTGGGAAACAACGCAAGGGGAGATGACTCTTTCTTCTTTCTGAGCATTGAGTAACAGCGGTGCGGCGCAAGTGACGAACAAAGACAGTCCGTCACGTGCGTATTATTTTCATCTTTTTCATTTTAACAGGCGGCCGACTGAGCAGCCGAACAAGCGATAACGCCGCGAAAAAAAAAAAATGCGCGCGGCTTTCGAGAATATTCGAGTCGGCGCTGCCAACAAAGAGAGAAGAAAACGACGCTAACAACGCGGCGAGGAGTTGACGGGTGCGTTAAGGTCAAAGAGTGAGTCAAAGGGAGATAACTCCCAACCAGTCTCCAGATATTGATTAAGAAGACGTTTGCTTGCATATTATACTGTCGGATGATTGCGTGGGCAGAGGTGTGTTTGTGTTTGTGTGTGTGTGTCTGTGTGTGTATGTGCGTGTGTGTATGGTCTTTTCGAAGCTGCAACTATTATTATTATTATTATCATTATTTATTTTTTTATTTATTTTTCCTTTAATTACATTTTAAAACAGGATTTTCTGGTAGTCATCATTGGAGATTGAGTGACAACAAGTCTTTTGACATATCCAGCACCCTGCTCAGTATTTTCGCAGATCCCAGATCTAAACTATTTTAATTTTTTTTCAACCTTTTTTAAATCATCCATATATATATATATATATATATATATATATATATATATATATATATTACTGCTTTTGGTAGACTTACAAGTACTCGATCTATTGTTAGCACGACATAGATTGCCTCATTATTATTATATTATTATTATTATTATTATTATTATTATTATTATTCCTACTGTTACAGGTTTACTCCAAATATCTTATTGTTATCGCTAGAAATCAAGTGACAGCAAGTCTTTTTAAATACTCACCACCCGATATTTTTTATCCCGTCATACCCTGAACAATTTAAAATCTTCCTCAATTTTTCAATCATTTTATTTTTTTTTTGTATAGTTCCAAGTCCTGCATCTATTATGGGAACTACCTGCATTCTATCATTATTATTATTGTTGTTGTTGACTTTTCTTTGATATTTAATGGTTAACGTTTGAAGTTGACAGCAAGACTACTCAAATCTTTAGGACTTTTCTGAGTATTTTCACAGACGCCAAAACTGCCTTCACCTCTCATTCAGTTATGTGCCATACGTGATATATTCTGAGGCGATCAAGTATCTTTCGATACATGACTGACGAGGCAGATTTTTCCCGCAGTAGGTTGCCATTTCTTTCTGTTGTAGAGTAGTTTTCACACGTACAAAACGTTAGGAACTTGAAATAAAAGTTAATGACACAGCAATCTCGTTGTGGTGGTTGATACTTCAATGTCCGACATCGACTGACTCGCTCAACACCACTGAGCCCAACTGGCGACCGCTACTACTACTACTACTACTTATTATGTGTGGGAGAGTCTATTACAATAGAATAGGTAATGTTCTGGTATAACACATCCAAGTCTGTAGAACCCGGTCCGTCCTGCTATTTACCCAGAGCTGCAGGTGGGGAGGAAGAAGATTCATGCCTTTTCGAAGGGTATTAGGACGTAAGTGAATGGGATAGATTTGACTGGAATTCGAACAGTCCGAAATATATACAGGGTACATGCATCACAGCCAAATGTGCCCAATATATTGTGACAGGTTGTGGTAAAAAGCAGAAATGACTTTGTAAGTGGAGTGCAGTTAGAAGAAAGTTAAGGACGGGCAAAACAATCCGATAAGACGATCTCCGATTGAAGGTGTTCCGAAATGTTTAGATGCAACTCTCAAGTCGCCTTGGCTGCCTCATCCTTCAACCTTACAATGAAAATAATTCGACATATAGCCAGGACTACGACAACGAACGATTATGAACACAGACGCACAGTGCATCTGCACGTAGGGTGTCTATCATTATTATTATTATCATTATTATTATTATTTTCTTTGATTTCTGGCGTTTACACATTTCTTTCCGGGTCCCGCCCAGGGACCTAAGGTTAGAAATGGCATCATGACATTTTCCACTGACAAAAAAAAAAAATTACATAGATAAAGCCTTTCGTAAGGTGTGGGCTGTACTTGTCAGAACAATTTTTTGTATCTCCTTGAGGCATGGACTTCCAGGAATCCCTTCAATTAGTCTACTGGAATCTTTTCCAACCAGTCCTAGGGTTCCAACTACAACAGGGATTGTTGATGTTCCCATATGTCACATTTTTTAGATTTCTATTTCAAGGTCCTTGTATTTTGACAGCTTTTTGAATATCTTCAAAGATACATTGCAGTCAGCAGAGACAGCCATATCAACAAGGAAGCACCGTTTTTGTTTGTGGTCTTTAATAACAATATCTGGGCAGTTGGCTTTAATTGTTCTGTCAGTGTGTATTGTGTAGTCCCATAGAATTGTAACAGGTCCTATCTCCGTAACCGGGTCTGGGTGGTGTTCATACCAGTTTCTTTCAGTTTCCTTCCCGTAGAAGTTGTAGATTTTCAAGTGCAGATATTGGCCCACTCTGTCATGCCGGGTTTTATATTCAGTGGGTGCCAATATCGTGCAACCTGATACAAGATGATCAATCGTTTCTGGATATTTATCACAGAATCTGCATTTCGGGCTAACACAATATTTTAGTATATGTGCTTGATAATTTCTAGTTAACAAGCATTATTATTATTATTCGTCTTCTTCTTCTACTTCTTCTTTTTCTTCTCATTATTATTATTATTATTATTATTATTATTATTATTATTATTATTATTTCCTTCCATTTCTATTGTATACACATTTCCTTCCGGGACCTAAGTTCAGAAATGGCTTCATGACACTTCTACTAATTATTTTTGTAAAAAATAAAAATAAAAATGATTGTAGGAATATTATTATTATAATTATTATTATAAATAAATATAAATAAAATATAAAATGATAATAATGAAAATTATAAATAAAATAAAACAATAACATAAAAACGTTGTTTAAAATAAATTGAATAAAAATTAAAAATTCTAAAAATATTCCCAGCATGTAACAAAAACTGTTACTGCCGAAAATACGGACATCCCGCCAAAACACGTTAAATTCAATCTCTTCACCTTGGTACGGGTAACACGTGTCTGACTTTTCTTTGTGATATAGCTTGTAATGCTACGGAGTAAATGTCTCCTTTTTATCACATATAACATAAAACAATTGCAATCTAAAAAATATACACACCAATACACACAAAAATATAAATAAATTGTATGAAAATAACATACAATTTACCATACTTTTCATGTTATTTCTGTATGTTTTATTTCCTGTCAAGTATGCCTTTATCTCCGTGAACACAAGGCTAATTTCTGCCGCTCTAATGTGAGTGAATCCCTCACAACATTTTGGTGACCGCTGACGTATAAAAGAAAAACAACCTATTCACCCACAAGATCTCACATTGTACATAGAAAAAGCACTTCGTAATGTGTGAGCTGTACTTGTGAGTACAATTTTTTGTATTTATTTAAGGCATGGGCTGCCAGGAGTCCCTTCAATGGGACTTTTCCAACCAATCCGAGGGCTCCAACTACATGTGGAATTATTGATGTCCTCATGTGGCATTTTTTTTTTTTAGATGTCCACTTCAAGATCCTTGTATTCTCATAGTTTTTTTTTGAAGATCTTCAAAGATACATTACAATTTCCAGGGAATGCCATGTCAATAAGAAAGAACATTCTGTTTTTGTGGTCCTTGATCACGATGTCTGGGTGATTAGATTTGATTGTTCTGTCTGTGTATATTGTAAAGAACAATAACAGGTATTATTATTGTTTTATTTCCTTTGATTTCTGGTGTATACTCATTTCTTTCCGGGTTCCAACCAGAGACCTAAGGTCGGGAACGGAATCATGACATTTGCCACTGAGAAGTTTTGAAAAAAAAAAATCGCACATATTTTATACAGATAAAGCTCTTTGTAACGTGTGGGCTGTACTTTTGAGTACATTTTTTTTTTTTTGTTATTTTTTTAAGGCATGGGTTATCAGGGATTCCTTTAATGAGTCTATTGGAATTTTTTCCAATCAATCCGAGTGCTCCAGCTACAACTGGAATTGTTAATGTCCTCATGCGTCACATTTTTGAGATTTCGATTTCAAGGTCCTTGCATTTTGATAGTTTTTTGAAGATCTTTAACGATACATTGCAGTCTGTATGGACAGCCATGTCAATATGGAGACATTTTTTCTTTGCGGTCTCTAATCACGATGTCAGGACGATTAGCTTTGACTGTCCTGTCTGTGTGTATTTTAAAGTCCCATAAAATTGTTACAGGTTCTGTCTCTGTAACCAGATCTGGGTGTTGTTCATACAAGTTTCTTTCCCGTAAAAGTTGAATATTTTCCAGTGCATATACTGACCCACTCTGTCTTGCAGAATTTTATATTCAGTGGCTACTAACACTGTGCAACCTGATACAAGATAGTTATTTCTGTTTATTATTATTATTATTATTATTATTATTGGTATATGTTATGTTTCCTTCTTTGTATCTTGTAGAGCCGGTTCAAAACTATGGTCCTTAGGCCCTATAGGAGAATTGTCATTTAATTGATAGCACTTTTCTTAGCATATGGGATATTCCTAGTAGGACAATCTTCTGACCAAACTTTATGTTGATGTAACCTGGGACACTGTTAGTAAAATTGTACATTCCTTTTCTCACGAGGCCCAGAACTCTGATTACTACTGATACAGTCTCAGACCTCATTATTATTATTATCATCATCATCATCATCATTATTATTATTATTATTATATGTGTATGTTATGTTTCCTGCTTTGTATCCTGTAGAGCCGGTTCAAAGCTATGATCTTTAAAGCCTATAAGAGAACTGACATTTAATTTATAGCACTTTTCTTAATATAGTGATTTTTCCAAGCGTAGCTTAGATGTGGCACAAGGCCGAAAGAAGGGGGGTACCCAGTGAGGATCGAACTTACTACTCAGTCGTAATTGTTCTAGCGAGACAAGCTTGCTAACCATTACACCACCTCGAGGTGCTCCCACTTTTCTTAGTATATGGGATGTTTCTAGTAGGGCGATCTTCTGGGCAACTTGTATGTTGATGTTACCTGGGCTACTGTTAGTAAAATTGTCCATTCCTTTTCTCACGAGTCCCAGTGCTCCGATTACTATTGGTACAGTCTTAGTCTTCATTCCTCACATCCTGTTAATCTCGATGATCTAGGTCCTTGTATTTGGACAATTTTTATGGTGGTGTTTCTCTCAAATGGTACTGCGATGTCAATAAGCATACACTTCCTGAATTTCTTATCTTTTATGATAATATCAGATCTGTTGACTTTTATTTTCCTGTC